ACGAGAAGGCAGGGTTCTTTGGAAAAGACACCAATGCTGGAGAAAATAAAAGGCAGCAGGAAAAGAGGAGGACCCAATAGGAAATGGACTGACTCCATAAAAGAAGCCACAGGCATGAGTGTACAGGAGCTGAGCAGGGCTGTTGAGGACAGGACAGTGTGGGCAACACTTCTTCACAGTGTCGATGTTGACTCAATGGCACTTAACAACAACAATAACCTTGATACTAAACATGCACAAAAGCAGTGCAAGAAAAGAATATTATAAGCCAATATCATTTATGAACATAGACGCTAAAAATAGGAAGCATTCACGAACTGCCTGAAGCCTTGTATTAAAAATAAACATACAAACAGCAAACAAGGTTTATCTCGGAATCCGAGGATATAGCCACATTAGAAAAAAAATCTATCAAAGTGACCCATTACATTAACACATCAAAGACAAAACCTATAATCATCTCAATACTTTTAGAAAAAGCTCTTAATTAAATTCCTTATTCATTTCATGATTTTTTAAAAAAAATATTTTATTGATTTTTTTACAGAGAAGAATAAAGAGTTAGAAACATCGATGAGAGAGAAATATCGATCAGCTGCCTCCTGCACACCCCCTACTGGGGATGTGCCCGCAACCAAGGTACATGCCCTTGATTGGAATCGAACCTGGGACCATTCAGTCCGCAGGCCGACGCTCTATCCACTGAGCCAATACTGGTTAGGGCCATTTCATGATTTTGAAATATTCCTACTTTAAACTCAACTGGGATAGAAGGGAATTCCTTAACCTGATAAAGGGTTTCTACCAAAACTTTACAACAATAATCATAAATAATGATACCACATTAGAAGCATTCTCAATGAGCTAGAAATAGGAAAACAATGCTTGGTCTCACCCTTAATATTTGATGTTATATTGGAGGTCCCAGCCCATCCATTGAGATAAGAAAGGGGAAAAGTATCAAGAGTGTTATTTACAGATGGTATGATTATCTACATGAAAATACAAAGGAATCTGCAAATAAATTATTCAGCATGTTTGCTAAAGCAAGATTATTCCAAAATCAATAAATTTCCAAATAGCAAAAATAACCATTTAAAAACTTTAAAAAGAATCCAACTTATAGCAACAAAAGCTGTAAGGAAACTAGGAATAAATCTCACAAAGAAGCACAAGAGTTTCATTAACAAATCATAAAATGTTACTGAAGGACATGAAGAAATCTATTAATGTATTGAATGACAATTCTATAAAGATGTCACATCTCCCAAAATTTAACCCTATAAGTGTAACTCAATAAAATACCAAAGACGTTTTTCAGTGGGAGTTGAAAAACTGATGCTAAAGTTAGTATGGAAGAGTAGAAGTCCAAATATAGCCAATACGATTTTTTTAAATGAACAAAAGAGGAAAATGACCTTCCAGACATGAAGACTGGTTATAAAGCCATAATAATTCAAACAGTGTGGTATTGGTTCAGAATTGATTTGCTTGGTGGAGAAGGATAAAGTAGAAACATGTCCACAAATATGTCGAAATTTAATTTTCAGTCGTGGTGGCATTACACATTAATGTGGGAGTGAAAGGCTGTTCAGTAAATTGAGGCAGAACAATAGGTTTTCCATGTGGGGGAGAGAAGGAGTAAAAGTAATCCTATTTTACACCACTGGAAAAAAAAAGTCCCAGCTGGATCAACTTTACAAGTATAGAAAGCAAAACTTTACAGCATTAAGGGGGGAAAAAATAGGAGGCTCTCTTCATGGCATCAGGTACAGAAGAGAGTTCTTTAATAAGACACACAAGTGACACAAACTATAAAGAAAGAGATCAGTGACTATGACTACATTTTAAATTTTCTATAGTGCAAAACACATCAAAAGCAGTTAAAAGAGGAGTCACAGACTGAGGCAATAGAATGTTTATATGCATGAACCCCTACAACTCAAGAGAAAAAAAGATGAAAATATTCACAGCCCATTGGAAAAATGGGTGACTGTGAGAAAGCAAATCACAGACTCAGAAACCTTAATAGCCAATAAAATGCTCAAGTCACTAGCAGTGAGGGAAATTCAAATAAAACAATGAAATACTGAGTCTTTAAAAAATCAAATTGTCAGAAATAAGAAAACTTTGAATCTAGAAAGTATTGAAGGTCAGGTGAGGGAAACCGCTCACATACACTGCTGATGGGTATATAAATTCAAAAAAACATTTGGCAGTCTCTAATAAAACTGAAAATGTGTGAGCAGGCTAGCAATTCCCCATCTAGACTCCCCACAGAGAAACCTTCACATATGTGTATGGGACACATGCACACATATGTTCATACTAGCATTGCCCATGATACCAAAATATTGGCAGCAGCTTAAATATTCATCAATAGGGGAATGAATGAACAGGGCACATTCATATGCATGGACTTATAATATAGCAATTAAAATGAATGGATTGGATGTGTATTTATCACTATGGAGAGAAAGAACAGAAACATACCATGAAGGGGAAAAAAAGTCACAGAATAGGTACAGTCTAACACCACACATGTGCATTTTAAAAAATCAAACAAAGCAATGTTCTGTGTTTTCATGGGTTAATTTGTTGTAAAAGTGTAAAACCTAGATTGTAAAGTTATATACCAAATTCAGGATAGTGTTCACCTTTGGAGTAAAGGGTGGAGAATGATTTTGGAAAGGAGTACTGAGAGATTTCAATTTTATCAGAAATGTTAAATAGCTCCATTTAAAAAATAGACCTGAAACAGATATGGCAAAATGTTAACATTTACCAATTTTATGAGATAGGTAAATGGGTGCTTGTAATATTCTCTCTGCATTTTAAAAATACCTTTACATTTTTCTAAATAATAAAATTAAAAGAAAAGCAGGTAGTAAAGAATTCTGTCTCTGATAGAATTTTTCTATGTGTAGATTAAGAGTTAACTGTCTACAATTTTAAGGCAAGCAACTTTACAATAATCTGTTTCAGAGGGGAATATCCACAAAAATAATAAAGCTGACAATAATATAAAACTACTGAAATGAATAGATTCTATAGGTATCAGTATAGATAGCTCTCAAAATCATGCTGAGGGGAAAAAAGTAAGTTGCAAAATAATATGTACACTCCTGTAGCATTTATAAAGAAAATTTAAAATGCATAAGCATAGATATAGATTTACATATAAATATATATATAGGTAATTAGGTAATAAAGTATAACAACAAATGCTGGAAGAATACACACATTATAATACTGATTACCTAGGGAAGGAGGGAGAATGGTGAATGGGACTGAGGAGGCAAATAAAGTGACATTCAACCCTGTCTTCTTTAATATAAATAAAAAACCTGAAGCAAATATGACAATTACTTCACATTTGATTATTCTAGGAAGTAAATATATAAAGCTATATTATTCTTGATGTATATGTATTTTAATTGTCAAAAGAAAAAGCACGGAAGAATTGCAAACAAAATGCACATAATTCAATGTATCAGTAAAGCTTGTGTACGTTAAAATCCCTGCTATGACCATTTTTAGAAATCATCCTGTTTGCCTTTCTATGTTTTTTCAATTTTTAAATATCAGAGAAGGAAAATAAATGAAAGCAGTGAATAAATATAAGAATATCTATAACCTGTGTCTGATTATATTAAAAAGAAAAGCCTCCACAATCACAAAACACCATATGAGCAATTCTATACCATTTGCTGCATTTTTCTTATTTTTAATTTTTGCCAAAAGAAAAATAAAAGATGTTGTCTAATTAGAAACGTGTCTTTCTATTACTAAAATTGTGGGAGTCCATTTTAATGTGTTTATCTCGCTCCTCGTCTGTAATTTATATTTCAGCGTGGAAATCTGTTCCTATGCCTGTGACAGGTTAATGCAGTTTAAACATGCATTTTTCTTTCGTTGGCTGAATAGTTAAATCGTTACTCAAAGGATTCTAAGTTTCAATTTCAACCATGAGAGGATTCTTTGCTTTTTCAAGGTTAAAAATGTTTCTGATTCAAAACGCTATTAATTAATGGCTACGCGGTGGATCTATTTGGGGATTTGGTACCGACCCGGGATTAACAGCGGGACTGTTAAATGAGAAAACTTTTTTGATGCAGACTTCGGGAGATTTTAAATCTGGTCTGACAGCGGTGGACGGAACTGAAAGGCAATTCCAGCCCGCTTCGCTAACGATCGTCATTATGCATCGAAAGACAGGTCAGGTATTAGCATTTTTTCCCTTAAAAAAATAAAAAAAAAAAAACTTTCGCGGACTCCGCCGGACACCCAGCTGGCGGAGGACCAGCGGGCGCGGGGGGGCGAAGCCGGCAGGCTGCCCAGAAGATACTGTTGGAGAGCTTTCTCTATATGAAAATTATCTGGGTCGAATGTTTGTCATAACACAAATACAAGGTCGATTGCTGTGAATGTATCGAACTCAAACGTACCGACCAACCCGAAGAGGGAATGGAGCTAGAAGTGCAACAAGAAGTCTACAAGTTGTCTGTATATGGATACATTTCGTTTAGTACAATTTGTATTATATCTGTTAAGTCAGGAGAAAGGACCTGCTGGTCCAAACTCGCTACGTGTCTCCGTTCCATCCTTT